TTGACAATATTATCGCTTACACTATCATATTACATAGAAAAGTCCTCAATCTCTGGAGTTTAAACAGGATTTATCTCGCATGTTACACTAGAAACAAGCAAATCACTTTTTACAGTCAACATTTTATATATGAGGATACTTTAAAAACAGGACATATTTTACACAGTTAAATAGGCAGTAAATGCTTTGAGGCATGTGATGTGATCATCTGACGTCTATAAAATGTGTTTTTAACACAACACACAGTTTAAATGTAATGTAATTATAGTAAAACGTATAATTTCCAGAATACTATAATTTGACATTATGCTTGGTATAAAAACCAAACGTAAATAATTAAAAACAAAGAAAAATTATATATTACACATGTGTTGAACGTTGTTTTGTATATTGGCAACGGGTGCGACATACAAAAGTCTCCTCATGCTTGGGTCTTAATGGTATTACTACAGGGAGAGGTTTCTGGGTTGGATTTAACAAATATTCTATGTTATAAGATCATGTGTACTTTGTATAATCTGCTCTCGGGCAGGAGCCGCGATCCATGAGTGTTGCCAAATCAGCCATCAGAGGAGTCATGAGGATTTTAACTTAAGAAGTAAAACCATATTCGCAATGCATAAGGGAGAAGCATAACACGCAGAAGTGTGTTAAGAAGAGGACATAGTAATAGATAGCAGTGAGACACGTGGATGATAATCACTTGTGTGTGTGTGTTGTGTGACTGTCTCTGCCATAATGAATAATAGATAGGGCCATAAGTTGTCCCTTTTTGGAGGCAAAGCTCATCGCTGTGCTGTTCTTCAGTGCTCCACACAGGACAAGGGGGTGTGTTTCCAGCAGAGTTAATGTACTGAGACTAACTGAAGGTTAATCACAGGCTGAGTGTGTGTTTGCGCGTGTGTGGTTTTGCATGTTTCCCAGGAATTTGTGTGTTTGTGTGGATTCATGTGTGCATGTTTGTGTGCGGCTGTGTTTTTGCACAAGTATCTTGCCACGTGTGTGTGTGTGTGTGTGTGTGTGTGTGTGTGTGTGTGTGTGTGTGTGTGTGTTGTGTGTGGTGTGTGTGTGTGTGTGTTGTTGGTGTGTGTGTGTGTGTAGCTCCTGCAGTGTCTCTGACTCAAAGGGCATTCACTGCAAACCCACACAGAACTGTTTGCACATGTCAGTGGTCATACAGCAATGCAGTGCAGCCACTTCAACTATGCACACAGAGAGTCCCCGAGCACACACATGTGCAGCACAGACACACACATGCAGCCATGAAGAAAACTGCTGGGCTGGGTGTGGGAAGGAACGATCCACCTACACAGTTTTTATTTTTCAGAGCAGAGAATAAAAGGCACGCTGCATTACTCCTGTATGTGTGTGTACATGCCTCTGTTTGTGATTAATTGGAAAGCTGCATTTGCTATTGATTTAAAAAGCTGTGTGGGTGTGTGTGGGTGTGCGTGTAAAGGCGCTGACGGACTGCGGTTTTAATGTACTGATTTAGATGCAGGGGAAACTGAGCAAGCACAGCATGTCTCTCAGATTCCCACAGGACTAATACAGAAACACACACACTCTCAGTCCCTTCCCCCTCGCCCATATACAGACGGCACCCTTTCCCCTACACACATGGTTAGTTTTATCAGGGTAATGGCTGTGCAGTGCGTTCAGTAATGGGCTGGGTGGGGGCAAACCTCAGCTAAACATGAAACCTCTTCCAGCTCTTAGGAGGTTGTGATTGGAAGAGGCAGTAATGGTTCAAAGGTTCAAAGTTTACTAATGGTTAGATTGCACACATGCAGGGAGTGGAGTCTAATAAAAAAACAAGTCTAATATAAAACGATCAATACCGGCATCATGTTGAGATATAAAATGTTTCACGAGGATTTACTCTGCCAATCAAAACCGCGATGGAACTGGTTATAATGGCGAAGGGTGTGTGACGTCAGCGTGCTCTGAACTACTGATACCTGATACGCGACTCATGGAGTGAGGTACAAAGTAGAGATCAAACAATTACTTGATTAATCTATCATTATCATCAATTAATAGTTTGAAGCAGAAGTAGTGGAAACATCCTGCACGTTATCAGTTTCGAGTTACTCAGATGGGAGTGCTCGCTGCCTCTCTTTGTCACATATCACTGTAAACTGAATGTCTTTGGTAGACTTTATCAGAAGAACCAAGATCACTGAGGTTTCGCCTTTTGGCTCTGGAGCTATGAGTAAGCATTTTTTGCCTTTCATCGTCCACCGATAATTATCGGAGAAATCAGGTGCTAGGAGGTTCACAGATGGGGCTGTACTCTAACCTCTGTATCAGCGGTTAAATTAGACCCTGTGTGTGATTTAAGTCCACTAGATAAACACACAGTACACTGATAAATGTTAAACCACCCTACTGTTATAAACTGGCATTTAAAAAGATTTGTTGGAAATTGGGGTGTTTTTTTGTTTATTTGATCTGTCCTCTGGAGAATGTAAAATCAAATAGATTTATTTTAGATTAGAAAGTGGTTTAACGGTGAGAATCATTTTCAGTTTGTCAATTAGATTAGTCATAACCAAATTCTGTAAATGGAGCTCTGAAGATAAAATCCCGACACGACATTTGATTTTCGACCTATCAAGAGTGAATGAGTAAGCAACTGCCTTAATGCCCCGTCCAATCACTGCTTCCCTGAAGAGAGCGTGCCCTCGTTATTGCCCCACACGGTTCACTTCTGCTGTGACGATTGTGGTTGTGGCGGTTACATTAACTGTCCCTTTGTCGTGTGTGCAGTCTGTCTGTGGTCGGTCTTGTGGAAACTGTGTGTGGGGGCTCAGTAATAATGTGATTACAACAGACTTCTTTAGCTTAGAACCACCAGCATGTATCGATTTGCTGTAACACACACACACACACACACACACACACACACACACACACACACACACACAACACACCACACACACACACACACAGCATGTACAGTATAAATCGATTGGTCTTTGTTGTTTATTAGTTTGGTTCTCCTGGTTATGAGGGTGACCAACGGTCTTCATTGTTTTTCCCAGGCGATGGCTTCTCAGCCGGCTCCAATCCCTTCCTGTCAGGTTACCCGGGCCCCTCCCCGCTGACCTCTGACCCTGCGTACAGATCGGCCAATCCCAGCGGTCTGCAGATGGCTCAGCTCTGGGCATCACACGCTCATGAAGGTAAAACATCGTACCTAATCTTTTTCTGTCTCTCTCCTCCTTTTCTCTTTCAGTACATAATGCAAATCCTTCAAGACACAAGCGACTTAATATTGTAATGACATTCCTCACAGTGCGCTGCTGTCCAGAGCCCAGGAGGCTTTAGCTCTGTTCCTCATTGCTTACACCAGTGGGATCCTGTTCCATTTCTGTCTCTCTGCTGGTCGTTGTGCTCCTGGCTCTGTCCTATATGCGTTTTGTCTGTCCTCCACCTGTCTCTTACTTTTGCCTGTCATGCGTTACTGCAATCTATCTTCCTCTCTCTTGTTCTTTTTTTGAGCTTCCCCTCCAATATGCACTTTGTCACTGTCTGTTTCTCTCTAGCTCTCCTGCCCCACTTTTCCACAACATCTCTCTCCTGACCTAGCTTATGAACACAGTTTTAGACACACACAGGTGTGTATATATATCTTTGTGTTTTTGTCCTCTCTTTGGACCTCTCTGTCCTCTTTGTCTCAGTGCTCTTCTTAAGGCCTGCTCTGTAAGTGATTGAATCTCTGTTTCCTCCTCATTCCCCCCCGTCCTTTTGTGTCTCCTTATCAAATCTCGCTGGAGTAGAAGGTCAGATAGGAGGAAACATATCCCGACGTGCAGTTTGGCAGGGTACAGGGAGAAGGACGAACAGATTCTATTTAGGATTCATTTTGAAACTGATTGCATCGCCTGTGTGACACAGATCTTGTTCGATGCTTTTCCAAACCCAGCAAATCAGATTGTGTGATTAGTTAAAAAAGAAAAAAAGATTTTGTCTTGATCTTACTTCAATTCGGGGACGGTTCAAGGGGGCGGCACTGGCATGTGATCGCACCTATGATTATAGGCAATAGTCTGAGCGTTAATGTCTTCTGGTTCCCTGGCAACCACTCAGAGCCAAGAATAGTCCAGCACATAAGCCACAAAAAAACGGCACATTTCTGTTTTTACACTTTGGTTTTTGTTCAGAACAAACAAGCTATAATGTGTTGAGTAGTGTCCTTTTTAAAGGTGCTTGTAGGTGCATTTTGTTAACTTCAGACAGAGCTAGGCTAGCTCTTTCGAGCTTGTTTCTATTCCTTATGCTAAGCTACGCTAAAAGATTGCTGGCTTTTATATACTTTTAGATATTCATAACTATTCCGTACTACTCCTATTATGTAACGATCAATTACATTCATACATTGTTTTCTCTAAATCCAATCTGTGTGTAAAGGCAAACTGAATCCAGCACAGGAATGGCAGACTCCGCCACTAACATTGAGAGGTAATTACAGAATGTAAATATGTTGAATGGCTATTGCAGAAAAGGGGTATCAAAAACTAAACAATTATGCCTTTAGAATTATACACAAGTCGATTACCGGCCCATCTGCTCTGAGTTTCAGAACCTGACAAAGCACACCTTGTTCAACTCGACAGTCAGCTAAAGAAGAAGGAATAAAGGATGGATGGACTTTTAACACTTGACTTAAAGTTTAGCCTGAATTGAGGCTGCAGTATCTGAAGCTAAAGAAACTAAAACCTCCTGCTTGCTAAAGAAGCCGTAGAATCCACTTGCTCTGATAGGAATAGAAATCTTCACGGCCTAAGAAGGATTCTTAATAGCAGCTAAAGTTACTAAAAGCTGGAGACGTTTCCGGGCAGCAGCTAAGAGGCAGACTTTGGATATGCCTGGGATGCACCGTAGCTGCACAGGAACCCCGTATCAAAGCTGTTAGAGATCAAGGTTAGCTGTTAGCTGTCGTTAAAGGAAGCTTTGCAAGAAACCCATCCCGCATACCTTTATTCTCGTCACATCATTCCTTTTATATTTCTGTCTCCCTGTGCTTTCCCCTACCCGCTGACACCCTCACCACTCGCCTCCTCTGACTTCTCCATTTCTGCCTCTCAAAACAGAGAGGAGACAGATTTATACTTGGGCTCCACTCCCAGGCGCTCTGGAATGGCAGCGGCGTCTTTTATATATCTTGGAATGGCCGGAGTGTGGGAACAGGGAATGTCTCACCCTCTCTGGGTGGCAATCTTTTTTCCTTTCTTTCTTTTTTTTTTTATTACATGTGTCCTGACACAGTGACACCGGCCAGTGTTAGAGTTGGAGCTCCCCGCTAACACAGAAATCTAAAGCATTACACCAGGCGTGGAGCTTGGCTATATTAAGATTTAGTCTCTGAGAGCAGCAGCTGGCTGTCGGGCAGACTCCCGCCCAACATCAACCTCAACTCACAAACAAAACCAGTCGCCTCAGGTGACCTGAGGTCGAGTATAGTCGGTGTACAAAGTTTAATATGACTTAAATGTGGTCAAATTTGGTTTTGCTCAAATCTCTTGACCAGTCTGAAGTAGAGCTGTTGTCTGCTAGACTTGTTAGAGTAATGTGTGGTAGCTCAATTGGTAAAGCCCCTAAATAGGCTGAGTCCTTACCACAGACGGCCAGGTTTGATTTCAACCGGCGCTTTGTGTGGTCCCCCCCCCCCCTT